CCCTCGTCTTTTTAAAAATTTATTTTTATTTTGTGTGTATGAATGTTTTGCCTTCATTGTAGGTACACCATGTGTGTGCAGTGCCTTCAGAGCCCAGAAGAGGGCAGTAAACATTAGAATGCGTGTTCAGACAGTTGTGAGCTGTCATGTGGATGCTGGGACCTCTGTAAGAGCTGAAAGGGCTCTTAACTGCTGAGCCTTCTCCAGCCTTTAATTACTTTTCTATTGCTGTGAGGAAGCAACATGGTTAAGGCAACTTATAAAATAAAGTGTTGCATTTGGTTTATGGTTGTAAAGACTTCAGATTTGATGATGGGACCTGGTGGTGGTGCATACCTTTAATCCCAGCACCTGGGAGGCAGAGGCAGGAGGATCTCTGAGTTCGAGGCTGGCCTGGTCTACAGACTGAGATCCAGGACAGTGGATTGATGGTGGAGCAAAGGAACAGTTGAGAGTTCACAACCTGATTCGAAACCAGGAGGCAGAGACACACAGAATCCCACAGTCTTTTGAAACCTCAAACCTGGCCCCTAGTGGCACACTTCCAGCAAGGCCACACCTTCTAATCCTTCCCACACAGTTCCACCAATTGGCGACCAAGTATTCAAACATATGACCCTATGGGGTCATTCTCATTCAAACCACCACAGATGGTTTAGTGTTAAAAGTGTTTGCTGCTCTCGCAGAGGATCCAAGTTCAGTTTCCAGCACCCACCTGGGGGTTTACAGCTACCTGTTAACTCCAGTTCCAGAAGGTCCAGTGCTATCTTCTGGCCATCTTATGCAGTAGGTGCACACATGGTTCCCTTACATGTAGGCAAACACTCATTAAATAAACAATACTAACCTTTTGAAATTTGCTAATCTTTGGTTTTTGGCCCAGCTGTGAAGTATTCTGTTCACGTATGTTACATGTGCATTTGAAAAGAATGTGTGTCCTGTGGTTGTTAGGGGCGATATTATCTACATAGGGTAAAGTGGTTGGTTGTTTGTTTTGTAAAGTCTTTTTCCATTCTTACCGGTTGTTTTGTCTGCTGGATGCAGAGATACACGCTTGTTGTGATGGTGAAATTGTCTTTCCCCCACAGTTCTGTCAACGTTCGCTTCCTGGCTTCTGAGATTGTGCTATTTGATGCTTGTAAGTTCCAAGCTGTAGCTCTGTGGTAGACCTGCTTATCGCTGAGTTGTGAAGTCTTTGGTTTATATTATCCTGGCTCTGCAGTCTCTTATTGGCTGTTAATATCGCTCCAGTACTTTGTCGTGCTTGGCACATGCCCGCTCTCACATTCTCACTTAAGTCCATTTTGTCTCTTGGCTTTTTTCATCATTGTATTTTAGAAATAGCACTTACACTTCATAATTGGATTTCCCCCTCCCCTCCCCTCCCCTCCTTTCTCCTCCCCTTTGCTTGCTTGCTTCCTTCCTTCCTTTATCTTTCTCTCTTTCTTTCCTTTTTCTTTTTTTCTTTTTTCTTTTTTTTTTTTTTTCAGACAGGATTTCTCTGGATGTAGCCTAGGCTGTCCTGGAACTCTGTAGACAGGCTGGCCTCAAACTCACAGAGATCCGCCTGCCTCTGCCTCCTGAATGTGGGATAAAAGGCGTGCGCCACCACCGCCTGCCTGGATTTTCTTTCTTTTTCTGCCCTGCCTCCTCCTTGCAGTGGAGCAAATAAACATCTTTTCTAATAAGTGAATAAATAACTAAAATAAATAACTAAAATAAATAACTAAAATAAGCCAAAACTACACAGAGAAACCCTGTCTTAAAAAAACCCAAAACAGGCCGGGCGGTGGTGGCGCACGCCTTTAATCCCAGCACTCAGGAGGCAGAGCCAGGCGGATTTCTGTGAGTTCGAGGCCAGCCTGGACTACCAAGTGAGTTCCAGGAAAGGCGCAAAGCTACACAGAGAAACCCTGTCTCGAAAAACCCAAAAAAAAAAAAAAAAAAAACCCAAAACAAACAAACAAACCCTAAAATAAAAACCTGATAATTTTTGTGGTTGTCTGAAATATTAGTTCATTTTGGTATTACTTTTTTTCATTTGAGACATGATTTGATATAGCCCAAGCTGACCTCTTGCCTCGGCATCTGAGATTGCAGGCGTCTGCTACTATACCCGAGTGCGTTCTTGCAGCTGCTGGTTTCTCTGCAGCTGTTCTGTCCATCTCACTGTGCCCTACTTGTACCCTCTCAGTGGCCCTCTCGGGGATTTTAACACTAAGAATTCACTTACCAAAGGACACATCTTCCCCTGAGTGGTAGAAAGGCCTTGAGATGCTTTAATTCCAAGCACGCGCCTTCCCAGTTTGTGTACTATTCTTACCCGGTAAATTGGTCCTTTCTTACGCCTTTAATCCCCTAAATTACACACCATCATTGTAATTCTAGACAATGCTTAGGTTCAACACAATATTTTTCTTTTTCTTGGCTCAAAGTTCCTCATTGCAGCTCGTCTTTCCTATGTGGGGTAATTTGTCTGTCCTTCCAACTCAGGTTCATCCTTTAGCGTTTTTAAATTTTTGGTCTTTTTGGTTCATTTTGCCTTAAGTACATTTTGTTTACTGAGTAACATACAATTATCCAGAAAAGCAACTTCTGTTTTTCTCTACGGTGCCTTTTCTCATTTTATGCTCAAGAAAGATTTTGCCATGGTCTACAGTGGACTGTGGATGATTGCTTCATTTGAGCACTTTGAAAATAATTTCCTGCTGTCTTCTGCTTTTCCTTAGTGATACTGGGGAGCCAGCCTTGGCTAAGCGTGTATCCCCTTCATAGGCACGGTGGTATTTAGTGAATGGGTGAACGTGGGGCCTTCTAGAATCAGGCTGGCTGGGTTTAAATGTTAGCTCTCTGGGTTACTAAGTAATTAATCTCTGTGCCTCAGTTTCCTCTTGTGTCAGATGTGTTAATGACAGTATCGATGCTGACCTGAAGATGGAGGAGGGCGTTCAGAGCGCCGACACTGTTGTCCACAGTAGCGGACCATTTTAATGTTCTTGCTGGCCATTATTTTTTGTTTTTGGTTTTTACAGTTATATGTTTATTTTTTTAAAGATGTGTGTGTCTGTATGTGCACTATATGTGCCTTAACTACCCCATGAATGCTGGTGCCTGTGGGGCCAGAAAGGGTGTCAGGTCCCCTGGAGCTGGAGTCACAGGGGGTTGTGAGTCGCTTAATGTGGGTACCGGGAACTGAACCCCAGTCCTCTGCAAAAGCATTAAGTACTCTTAATCTCACCAGCATCCTCCCCCCCCCCACTTTTAAATTGTGTGCGTGCATGTGCACATGCTTGAGAACGTTTGGAAGTCAGAAGAGGGCATCAACTCTCCTTGTAGCTGGAGTCACAGGCGGTTGGGCGCCGTTAGATGTGGATGCTGGGAGCAGAACTCAGGTCCTCTGAAAGAGCTGCTGAACCACCGCCCCAGACCCCCCCTTGATGCTTTTTGAATTCCCTTATTACTGGGGATTGATGTCTGTAGGTGTGAGATTCCTTTAATTTTCCTGTTTGAACTCCACAAACTTTTCAAAACTGTGAATTGTTATCTTTTATCATCAGTTCTGGAAAAATCCTTAGCTGTGTACCTTCAAGTGTTGCTTCCACCAAATTTTCTTTGCTCTCTCCTAATTAGTTAGATTAATTAGTCCTGCTCACTCCTATCATTTGCATCTTCTTGACTTTGCTCCACAGTCTCTGTGCTCTGACTAGTCTGGATAATTTCTTGAAATCCATCTCCCAGCTCATTAATTGGCTTCAGCTGTGTCTAATATGCTATTAAACCTATACACCGAGTTTTTTATTTTAATTATGTTTTTATTTCCAGAAATTGTGTTTGGTTCCCAGCTGAATCTGATTGTTTTCAACTTTCCCTTCACTCTTTTCTCCCTCTAACTGTATTATACATTCATCCTGTTCTGTGTTCTGTCCGCTACGTCGACAGACTGAGCCTCTGGGGGCTGGTGGAAGGACCCCTGAGGCCAGAGCCAGCCAGAAGGCTTTCGACTGTGAAGGAAAGCCTGGTCTTTCCTCCTGCTCCCCCCACCCCCAGGTCCCGTTTTCCTTTTTTTCCCTCACTCTCGATTACTTTTTTCGAAAGGCTGATTCATCCCATGGTTTGAAGAGGAAACCAAGGGTAGATTCTCTCTCCCAGCACCCAATGCCTTTCCCGCCGGCAGCCAGGACTATTAGGATCTGCAGAGACTTCCAGATATATTTTATGTGTAGTCAAGCAAATACACATTTAAAAATTCATTCTCTCTGTAACGCAAATGGTAGCATGCTACATATATTGTTCTGCACTTGCTTTTTAATAAAAAATATGTTTCTGGTTATGAAAGAAATACGTGCTCATTTTGAATAACATCAATTCCCAAGTGTACACATGTAGAGAGTGAAAGTCTCCCTGGAATTCATTCCCTAGAGATAACATCTATTTTGCATCTATAAATATATATTTACATAAATGGGCTTATGCAACAGACAGTTTTCTAGCCTATTTTTCCCCCTTTTCTCCCAACAACATATCATAATATCGTTCCATGAATCTTTCCACAGCTCCACGAAGCCCCACAGTGTAGGGCTAGGGTGTGGAATGGGAAAGAATTAAGTTCCAACATTAACTTGCGCCGGTCAGTAGCGCAGGACTCTTTATAGCCGATTGAAGCCTCAGTCTCCTCATCTGTGAGGTGGTAACATAGTGTACACCTCCTCATGGTCTGGAACAGCAATGAGCCCATGCAAGGCGTGTGTGCCTTCGAGGCCCCCAGGAGAATGTCATTTTTAAAAGACTCCCTCCTCTGTTCAATGATCACATAGATTTTATAGTCCGGATGTGTCCTAATGTATTAACAGTGCCCCCACTAGAAGACACTGGGCTATGGGTTATGCCCAGTGTCTTTGTTACAAATGCCAGCACACCATTCCTGTAAATTCTCTGGGGGTGCAGTGGGTTACTGGGTCCTCTGGATTCTAATCTCTGTACCCCTTTATTTTTTCTCCAAGGAGAAGATGAGAGTGCCCTGTGGAGTGAAGCTCGTGTACTACGTAGGTGTTCTTCATCACCACCCCTCATCTTTGTTTGCTCTGGGATGTGAGGGGTCTGGTCCTCCTCAGCAGAGGCCCTGAGCCCTCTCCCCCTACCCCCTTACCTCAGGGATGCTGAAGCTTAGACTTCCGTTTCTCTCCAACCTTTCAGCCAGCCCAACTCCCCACTACACACAGACACACACAGACACACACACTTGCTTCCAACACAATTCCTGTGATTTGTAACATACTGAAAAGACTTAAAATGCACCTTTTAAAAGGAGAGAAAAGTGCAAAGGGAGCAAGGAGAGGAGAAAGCACTGGGTATCTTGTACAACAACCCCTCACCCTCTATCCACCAATCCTGAAAAGGCACAACTTCTGGGCTCCAAAGAAGCACCGAGTTTCCCGGCAGTCGTGGTAAAAAGGGAGCAATGTGTCAGACATGTTGAAACTACTCGTCACTTCTAAATAGCCTTGAGGAAGTTTCTCCCAGGGACAACACATGGGTGGCGGTTGCTTTAGCTTCAGAGTTCCTGAGAGAGGCATGAGAGATCTTTGAGGTGGAGTCAGGACAGGTGTGTCCTTCCTGATGGAGGGTCAGGAGGAGGGTGACAAGGGTCCCAGGGTAGAGCCTGTTTATGCAGGGGCTGGGAGGTTAGAGGGGAAGTGGAGAGAGTGGGCACGGAGACAGGTGGCTTTGTTTCTGGGCCCGAGTGGCCAGGCAGCAGACACTTAGTGAGCCCTACTATGTGCCGGGTCTCTGTGGACACTGGGGGTGTAGTACTGACCCTGTCTTTATGGAAGTCTGGCTGGTGGAGGCCAGCGACAGTAAGTAATAGAAGCCGAGGCAGGGACTGTTTCGGACAGAGCATGCTCTGTCCCTGCAGATCTGCTCTGGGCCAGGGATCCAGCTCCTGGGAGCCTTCAGCAACAGCCAGCCAGGGAGACAGCTTGAAACTCTGGAGGACTTGGTGAAGGTCAGCTCAGCCAAGAGGCAGAGAAGGCCCATGACTTCTCACCCCGCCAATTGTCAGGTACAAAGCTAGCTTCCTGGTCTAGGTGCTAGTGATTCATCTTGCTTCCATGGGTACCTTCAACATGATGTCACTGAGGCCCAGGATGGGCTGACTCGGTTAAAGTCACACAGACCAGTGTTTAGAGGTAGGTTAGCCCCACTTGGCTGCTGGCCTGGGCTCTGTGGATGCTCTTCTTACTGGGTGTGGGAGTTTGGGGGCACAGGGGAACTGGGCCTCCATTGTGTTTGGAAAGGTTCTCTTGTGATCTTGGCTGACCTACATGTCCGGCTGCACCAGGGTTCCCAGCCATCTATTGGATATGGGACCACAGAGTGCTCTTAGATGCCTCCTTCACCCCAGAGCTCCTTAGGGATCTCTCCATAGAGGCTGAGTGGCCATGGGTAAATGGAGCCCCTCCTGGCACAAGGTAGCGCTGGCTGGATAGTCCTCTTTACCTTGCTCATCTCTCTCCACAGTGTGATCTCATGGAAACTGAGAAGCCTCTTCAGGAGAGGACTGAGGACCCAGGTGATGGTCCACAGAGCCTGGGGGAGGATTCTCATCCCGTTCCTGGCTTGGGCTAGGATCCTTTTCTTTACTCACCATCAGCCCAAAGTTCTCCTCCAAAGGAACTGGGGTCCTAGGTCCTTAAGGAGGGATCCAAGCCCCCTCAAATCTGCCTCTGCTCATGTTCCTTGAAGTCCCCTGGGATCACATGACACATTCCCCCTACCCCAGGTGAGCAGGAGTCTATGCTTCTGGATGTTGGAGTACGATCCACCGTGGTCCATGCCATGCAGGAGGTGCTGTGGACTCGGTAAGGCTTTACTCCCTACCTCCCAGATGTGCTGACAGCTGTCCTGTGTAGCTCTGGGCCAGGCCACATTTGAGAGAGAGAGAGAGAGAGAGAGAGAGAGAGAGAGAGAGAGAGAGAGAGAGAGAGAGAGAGAAGGAGAGAGAGAAGGAGAGAGAGAGAGCAAAAGAGAGTATCCAAACAGATTTAGTACAGGGAGGTCACTGACTCCCACAGCCAGTGGTGAGCTAAAATGTAAACCTGGGTGTCTGTAATACATGGCTTCAGTTGTAGTGAGAGTGTGGGCTGGGAGGGTCTCAAAGATCTGAGCCGAAGGTCCTCGCTTACAGATGGTGAGACCAAGCTCAGAGAAGGCAGGAGTTGGCAAAGGCCACACAGCAAGTCAGGAGTAGATCGGGGGTTGAGGTTTCACTTCCGCACCCCAGCTTGGCTCTCTGCTCTAGTTGATTCCTTATCCCCCAACTTCAGGCCTGCTCCTTTCCACACAGACCCAGCTCCTCTGGCAGGACCCAGGAGCCTGGCTTTGACCCTTGTATTGCCCCTAGTCCATTGTGTAGCCTTAGGGTGAGCCCTGAACTCTGAGCTCTCCCTATGTAAATGGAAGATAACACCATTTCTTCTTCACAGAGCTGGGGTGGGAGTCACCAGGTCCATGGGGAAACACCCATGACAGGATGGAGGTAGCCTAGCCTCTGTCCCCTACCCCTGCATTTCCTTCTGAGGCTAAGTGAGCGGACAGCTTCCCTGCTCAGGGCTGGCTTGTCCTCACAGTGTCCAGGAGTTTCCGGACCTGTTGCTGAGGGAAGAAGAGGTAGCGGGCATTGCAGAGGGCATTGAGGCTGCCCTCTTCCGCCTGACCCAGGACACCAACCTCCGCTACAAGACCAAGTACCGCAGCCTGCTCTTCAACCTGAGAGATCCCCGGAACTCTGTGAGCTGGGGGAGGTGCAGCCGGCCCAGCCCTCCCTTGGGGACACCCAGAGCAGACAGCAAGTTGAAGTGGGTGCTCCCAGGGCGAAACAGTGCATTCTTTCCCCCCCAGGACCTGTTTCTCAAAGTGGCTCACTGTGATGTCAGCCCTCACGACCTGGTACAGATGAGCTCAATCCAGCTGGCCCCCAAGGAGCTGTCCTGCTGGCGGGACCAGGAGAAAAGAAGGGTGAGTGGTGGAGACAAAACACACGGGGTGGATGGGCCTGTGTGTGTGTGTGGGGGGGGGTGGCCCTGAAATGGAAGATGGTAACAGAGGAAGCAGGACAGATGGACAGTCAGGACTGAGGAGGAGCTGGAGAAGACAGCGGGCTGGAGGGAGAGAGTCTTCCAGGACAAAGGTAAGAAAAGAGGCCACACTCGTGTTTTTCTGTGGAGTTAGGCTGTGTGGGGGTGGGAGGACTTCCGTGAGGAAGTTCCTAGTGCTCTTCTTCCCATCCCAACCTCAGGTTTGAAGGCAAGGGTCCCACAACTCCACCCTCCTCAGGCAAATCATCCTGTACCCTGCCCATGCCCGTGAACCTCGCCCTGCGTGGAACTCTTGGGAGCAGGGAAGGCGTGACATTGAGCGGGCTTTTGGGAAGGCTGGCCTAACGTTTGGTGGTCAGAGGTGGACCGAACTGGTTCAGGGCTGAAGTGCTGAGGAGGAGAGGGTCCTGAAGCGCTCTTCTGGGAGAGCTAATAGCCCAAGTCCAGCCAGTGACTCCAGTTTCTCTGCTAAGCTTCTGTCCAGGCACTGGCGGTGTCATAGGATGGGAACAGCTGTGTAGTTCAGAGGTCAGTGCAGCCTCTGTGCAACAGCCATTCAGAATTCCAGGGTGCGGGGGGAGCTGGTCACATACGCACGTAGAGTGCTTGCCACTTTCGCATGAAGCCCCGAGTTTGAGCTCCAGCATCCATGTAAAAAGTCTGGCATGGTGGCATGCGTTTGTAATCCCAGTGCTGGCTGGGGCGGTGGAGATGGGCAGGATCCCTGGGGCTTGCTAGCAAGCCTCACCTGGTGAGATACCTTGTCTCACAAAGTAAGGTGGATGGCTCCTGAGGGAGCACATCAAAGATCAATCTCCAGCTTCCACGAGCACCTGTACACACGTGCACATGCATCCAGCCAGCCACTGACATGGGTGCCCGCATGTGAAGAATTTCAAGGTAATGAATGCAGAGCCTGAACCGAGTGAGGGCCTTTTGGAGTACAAGGCCCAGCGTTCATGTCCTCATCATGGAGCCCCCCTGCCTGGATGTGGGGGTGCAGGACCCCTATCTTCCTGCACCATTAGAAAAGGAGAGGCAGGCCTCCAGTTTAGGTGACATTGATCAGCAAGGAGAATGACAGCTCGCTTGGGCTTGCTATGAACCTCGGACTAGGCTGGGCCTTCTCCATGTGCTGTTTAATACGGTGCTGTTTAATACTGTGTTCTTAATCCCCAGAGAATAGATAAACTGAGGCTTAAGGCCACTAAGTGGTGGCCCAAAGTCAAACTAATCCTTAAATCTTTATTAATGGCCCATCTGGGACTCAGCCTGTTCCAGACACCACAGCCTCCCCCGGGGTGGAGTCGGGTGGGGCAGCCAGGGGCATAATTGACTTGGGTGAAGGCCAAGTCCAGGAACACTTCCTAGAGGAGGCAGGGTTCAGTGAGTGGAACCTGGAGGGGTAGGGCTGAAGGGGCTCGCTTTCTAAGTGAGCAGAGAGAGGCTGGAAAACAAGGGGGTGGGGTGGGGTGGGGACAAGGGAGGAACTTTAGGGGAGAGAAGGGAGTTGACTGGGTGCTTGGAGGCCCTGGCTGAGTCTGCCTTGGCCTCTGTAGGGCCTGGACATCCTTGAGCAACAACAGAAGGAGCTGTCTAGACTTCCCACCTCCAAACTGACTCACAAGGGCGAGGTAGAGATCCCACGGGACTCAGACCAGATGCTGACCCTGGAGGACCTGATGGTAAGGGACAACCTGACTTAGGCACAGGTACCCCACTCCTGTGGGGCCCTGAGCAAGGTCACTGCCTACTCCATGGGCTCCATGTTCAAGGTTTAGCAGGCTCTGTGATCCTGGCTGTTCATGGTCGAGGCCTGAGAACAGGTGGTGGCAGTGTGCCTGGGGGCTGGGCTTCCTTTTTTCATGTTCAGAACACGTACCGTGAGTGGCACTAAGGCTTGTCATTGTGGTCACCCCAGCCCCAGCTATTCTGACTTCAGGCACTGGCTTTTCTAGATGTGAAAGACAGAGACCTGTTTTATTAGTGGGTTTATTTGCTTGGAGACGCCACAGGCAAGGAATGGCCCCACACCCTGGGCCGTCCAGGCGGAGAACCTCCTGAGCTCGCCCTTGTACCGGGAGAAGGCCCAACATCTAAGTCTGTCATTGATGGGTCGGCTCCATTCCCTGGCACATCCTGTACCATCCTGCAGCGGAGCGCCCCCATCTTGCCCAGAGCCTGATCGTTATAGTGGCTCCTCTGCCCCTGCTTGGCTAACCCGCATCTTAGTGTCCTGTGGCCAGCAGGACCTTCCCCTTGCCCCACATCCATCACTCTCAGAAGGCCACTCTGGCTTGGTTGGGGGTCTCCTTCGGTCAGTTGTCACCTGGTTGTGTGTGTTTCTGGTCAGGAGATGGGTGGAGGGCAGGCAAGTCCCTCAGTACAGATTGGTGAACCCCTCCTGGGTGTTAGGCCCTGGAGGGGATGACAGAAGGTGTGGTAAGACAAACTCCCCCCCGCCCCCCCCCCCCCCCCCCCCGGGCATCCAAGTCAAGAAGAATCAGTGCCTGTGCAGAGAAAAGCCCTCGGGGGGTGCAGCTGCTCCCTAGCCCACCCCGAGCCACGTTCCCTCAAGAGGCTGAATGTCAGCACTCGAGAGGGACTGGAGACACAGAGAAGAGTGTCAGGAGAAGGGAAGAGAGGAGATGGCGGAGGAGAAGGTGACAGAGAAGAGCAGTCTGCCCCATATTGAGCATCTGCTGTGTGCCCCTCTTACAAACAGCACCTCATTTGAACATGGCCGTTACTGACACGGTACGCACTCCAGCCTTCCAGAAGCCTGAGCCGTTGACCCAGCTTAGTGTAGTGGGCAGGAGTGGCGTGGAGATGTGAACCTGGTAGCGTTTCGAGGATCCCTCCGAACCCTCCGAACGCAGCCCTGCCTCTGTACTTGGAAGGGATTTCTAATGTGAGGGGAAAGACAGTTAAAGGTTTGTTCTTCCGGATTCTGTCATCTGCTTCTCAGAACTTGACTTAAGGAAAGGTTGCAAAATTTAGGAAAATACTCTGTGCATGAGGATGCCTTCAGGGCTCCGTGACAGCTGGAGGTGATCAGAAAGTGTCTGGCAACGAAGGTGACAGTCTGCCCCATAGTCTGTCCACAGGGTCTAGAGAAGGGGGCAAATGTCTTTATCACAATTAACGGGCAAAATGAGGGTACAAAGGATATTTGACCCTAGCTATTCTGGAAAGGACCCCCAGACTCTCTGCATAGAAAAACTATGACAAAAGGCACCCAGCGACTCAACAGTTGTTGTTTTTAAAGTTACAATTTTTCGATTTTTTTTTTTTTTTTTTTTTTGGAGACAGGGTTTCTCTGTGTAACATTGGAGCCTTTCCTGGAACTTGTTCTGTAGCCCAGGCTGGCCTCAAACTCACAGAAATCTGCCTGGCTCTGCCTCCTGGGTGCTGGGATTAAAGGCATGCGTCACCACCACTCGGCAATTTTTTGATTTTTTTAATTTCCCAAGTTTTCTTTACAAATTTCCAGTAAAATTATAAAAATTGTAATTATAAAATTAGAAAAGAAGCATATTTAGAAAAATAAACCACATTCCTGAGACTCTCTACCCACAGAGGACTCTTGACCTCCCCGGCCACATTGCCATCTGACCCTCTCTGCCCCCGTGCTTTCCAGGAACCCATGGTGCCCCAAGAGTACAGCCCACAGGCCCTGACGACCCCCCTGGAGGACACCACAGATCAGCATCAGCACCACATCTGGGACTCCAACTGCCACATCTGCAAGGGTGGGTAGGAAGACAGGAAGGGCGTCAGTAGTAGCTGGCTGGAGCCACACGTGGGCATCAGCCACAACCTGGGTGGGTGGCCCGGTTGGAAGGAGGCAGAATGGGAGAGCCTGTGCTGCGGGCCACCTTGGGATGAAGTTGGCTGAAGTCTTGGTCGTCAGGCTGTGGCTGTCTTCTGTCTCTGCCTGCTCATTTTTCAGTTCTTGTTTCTGCTCTTTGCAGACTGGAAATCCTCAGCTGAACTGCCAGGCCTCTCCAGAGCCATCATGAACAAGGAGGAAGATGTCATCTGGAAAGCCCCAAGTCCAGCTCCTGTGTCCTCTCCAGAGATGCTCACAGCTGGGGAGACACCTTCTAAGGAACCACAGGACAGGTGTGAGACTGGGAACCTTCAGGGTTCCATGCTAGTGACAGGGGAGGTGAGCATGGGTGGAAGAGGCCGCCAGCTGGCGCTGTAACATACACACGCTGCAGGAGCTCCCTTCTGTTACGATCTTAAGTCTTCCCATGTCCCTGGGCCTCTGTTTTTCTATCTGTGAAATAGAACTCACACAGCCTCCTGGTTCCCTCCTGCAGGAGGCCATACTTGGATCAGTGCTCAGGTCTCTGCAGTGAAGAACGCAGGACTGGCTGTGCAAAGGAAGGGGGTGCTGGGGACATCCTAATGAATGACTCTATCTGGCCCTGCCCTGTCCCTTCTTCTAGGCTCCAGATGCCTGCTGGGCCCAAAAATGTCCCACCCAGCCCTCCGCCCTGGGAGGGCTCACTAGACATGTTCTCCATCAAGCGTTTCCGGGTCAAGGCCCAGTTGGTCTCGGGACACAGCTGTCAGCTTGTCCAGGTACTCCACTTCTGCCTACGAGGACTCCCTTCCACACAACCCAGCCCAGTTGCTAATCATCCATTGGTTCTACACATCACCAGCGAACCTTGTGCCAACTATGCTTGAGGCCAGATGACACACTAGCCTGATCCTGAGACACACTGAGCGTGATAGCGCTCTCTACCTCAAAGCGTAAGGCAAGAGAGGTTCTGGGAGAGCATCCTGGGGCCTCTCAGCTCACCGGAAAGTTTAGGAGTGATTGTTGACTGACTGACTGATGAGCTAAACTGTTAGGTGGGGAGTGAGCGTGAGCCTGTGAGACTTTGGCCAGAACAACCTGGAGGCCTTCAGGGGCAGGTAGAGCTCTCTGGGGAGTCCCTGAGAGTCTGGATACTTTGCCTGCCCTTCTCCTCAGCCTTTGGCCTGAGGTAATGGGAAATGAAACTCTCTAAAAGGGTGGGAAGCTGGGTGCTGACCAATCACCTGCCCCCAGGCTCTGCCGGAGGTCATTCGCTCAGCAGGCTGCCTCCGTCCAAAGGACCTCTGGGATCTTCTAGACCTCATGTGCCCAGCCAGAGCAAAGGTAAACAGCCTGCTTATAGGGCACCCTCTCATTTTGCCTCTCCTTCCCATCTCCTTCCCTCCCCACCTAGATCCTAGGCTCATCAGTGACCCTGGGCAGGATCCCGCCTCGGTCTTCTTCCTAGAACAGTGGTTCTCAACCAGTGGGTCGAGACCCCAGGGAGGTCAAACGACCCTTTCACAGGGGTCCCATATCAGATATCCTGCATATCAGATATTTACACTATGATTCATAACTTAAGTTGCAAAAATCACGGTTATGAAGTTGCAACAAAAATAATTTTATGGTTGGTGGTCACCACAATATGAGGAACTGTATTAAAGGGGCATAGTGTTAGGAAGGTTGAGAACCACTGTCCTGTTGAGTCTGAGTGTGCCTGCAGGCCAAGAGGATGACGGCTCCTTTGCCACTTCCTGTTGTATCCCAGGACATCTGCGTGGTCAGACTGTGTCCCCATGGGTCTCGGGACATCCAGAACTACCGCATGCTCTACTCCTACCTCAACAACAAGCAGCGGCACTGCCTGGTGATTGTGCAGCACGTGAAGGTGGTCTTGCTTCCCCTGCCCGCCTTCCAGCCTCTGCCAGCCAGGCTGCGCCCTCTGGGAGGCCCAGGTGAGAACCGAGTGTATACCTGAATAGGATTGCAGCCACATTTGACCCCAGGGTAGCAGGACAGAGGCAGATGCAGACAACTGACTGAAAAAGTTAGGAAGGATGGGCTTGACTCTGCAGCTGCCTTAGCCAGGCCTGGCGTCAGGCAAGGGTCAGTCTAGGCATAGCCCTAGGAAGGCACCTATGGAAGAGGACCTTAGGGACTCAAGAGCAGCCTTAAGACCTTTCTGGGCTGCAGCTCCCAGTATTGGAAGCAGATTGACGCATCCTCCATCAGGTGGTTCTGGGCAAAAGCCCAGCTTGTCTTGGGACATAGCAGCTAGCTAGTCCAGGTCCACCTTCTATGTTCACGAGGTCTTTCTCAATGATACTGCCCAGCCCACAGCCATTCACCCTTCATTCATTCATAAGTCATTGCCTCACTTTGTGATAGGCACAAGGACAGATGATACACCAACCCCCGGGATGGTATAGACTGTCTTCATTAAGCCTTGAGGTCAAGCCATCCATGCGCTACCCTCTGCCAGGTGACCCTTGATCACCTAGACCAAGCATTCTGAGACAGGCTCACTTGCCTGCTCGCTTTTCTCCATCTCACTGTCAGGAAGTTCTCATGATCAGACTTCCAGACCTACGGCAGCTTTTCGGGAATCCATGTTGACTTCCTTCAGGTCTTGGGACCCTCCCTTCTCCACTTCCCAGGTCTTGAAGCTGCTCACACGAGCCTGTTACTCGCTGTACTGTTCCCTAAGGATGGGCTTCCAGACACAGCTCTGTCCATCCCCGTGGGGAACAAGGTTCCCAAGACTGCCTCCTTCAGCAAAAGAGTGGAGAGGAGATGCTACCAGCCAGAGGGCAGGGCATCAGAGACCACCCTGAGAGGATCACTTTCCCAAGGGGAGGCCCCAAAACAGAGCTTGACCAAGGGCAGCCTGGCTCCAAGGAGTGGTTGTGCTTGGCAGAGCCTCCACAGAGGCAGGGGGAGGCAGGGACCTGGCTGGGGACAGCAGTCCCCAGAAGCAAGTTGGTGCCACCCCCAACATCCCAATTCAGGTGGACCAGTTTTCCCTGGCATTGGCCATGGACAGCACCTCCATAGGGCCTCCTGTTTCCACCAAGACCTACTCCAGCACCTCAAGGTCTTGGTGACCATGAGTCACCAGTTCCAGGCCTCTCTGTGGCCCCCGGGTCAGCAGCCTCTCCTCCCATCCTCTGCAGTATCTTCAGTTCCGGATCCCCCTGGGCCAATCTCAGACCCTTCTCTGGGCCCTAGGGATGGAGGTGGCTCTGAGTGTCTTTGACCGGTGAGGCCTGACCGACCCTTCGGACCCACCAGAACAGAAGTGTTCATTCCCTTACTCTCAATGCTGAATGAGAGGAAAGGCCAGTCAGCTCTCCCCCACCTGCCCAGTTTGTACCCGTTCTGCAGCCTGTTTGATGGTGAATTTTGGTTCAATAAAAACTTGGCAAAATAAGAATTGCATCTGATAACTGTGCAGAAGCGTCTCTAGTCCCATCCAGATGTGGCTTGAGGTGTCTTTGAAATTTTTTTTCCCACAAATGCATGACCTCCCTTGCTGATTGGGGGTTCTGAACCATCAGTTTGCCCCAGGACAAAGGTTTTGCTTTGTGGCTTCTGGAGGCATTTTAAAAAATACTCTGAGTTGAGTGTGGGCATGCACACATTTAATCCCAGCACTCCGGAGGCAGAAGCAGGTAAATCTCTGGAATTTGAGGCCAGATTGTTCTACATAGCGAGTTTCAGGCTAGCCAGTGTTACACAGTGAAATCCTGTCTGTGATAGCTGTATTATTTTATTTTTACTTACTTACTTACTTATTTGTGTTTTGGAGACAAGGTTTCTTTGTGTAACCCTGGCTGCCTGGGAACTTGCTCTGTAGACTGGTCTGGCCTTGAACTCAGAGGCCTGACTGCCTCCGGAGTGCTGGAATTAAAGGCGTGTACCACCACTGTCCAACCCGTGATGGCTATTCTTGACTCGACTGCATCTGGAATGAACTAAAATCCAAATGGCTGGGCATACCTTGTGAGGAGTTTTTTTTTTTTTTTTTCTTAACTAAATCATTTGAAGTGGGAAGACCCATTTCTAATCTGGATCTTTGAGGTGGGAAGATCCACCTTTAATCTGGGCCACACCTTCTCTGCTGGCAGCCTACAGAAAGGACATGGAAGAAGGGAGCTTGCTCTCTTTGCCTGTTTACTTTTGCTAGAAAGTTCATTCCTTCACTGGCTTTAGAGCCGACTTCTTCAGGATTCTGGCATATACTGAAGACCAGCTGAGACATCCCCCCTTGTAGACGGAGCAACTACTGGATTCTTGGACTCTCCATTGGTGGACAGTCATTGTTGGACTAGCCAGACCATGGCTTGTAAACTGCTCTAATAAATATTATATATATATATTTTCATTCTATATATATATATATATTCATTCTATAAATTCTGTCTCCCAAAACAAACAAACAGCAAACCAAAACAAAAACCAAACAAACAAACAAAACCCAAAATCTGGATTAAGGGAAAGAATCAGTGGCGGGAGAGAAGACTGCCGGGGGTTGGAGGAGAGAAACTGACGAAGGACAGGAGGAGGTAGAGGTGTTAGGAGGGTAAGGGAGGGGCTTTATTTTTCTTCATTTCGTTGTGGTGTGCCAGCGTCTCTGTGAGTCACGGGGGTCAGAGCAGAGCTTTGGCGTCTTCCTCCATCACCATCCTCTTGACCGCTTTGAGACAGGATTTCTCACTGAACTGGAAGCTCACCCTTTTGGTTAGGTTGGCTGGCTAGCCAGGGAGCTTTGTAAATTAGCTAGTTGCTACCCCCCTCCCTCTAATGCCGGGGTTGATAGGCTCTTAGCCATTGGGGCCTTCTCTCCAGCTCCAGGAGTGATTTTAAATTTCTGAAGTCAATTTTTCTTTTGGGTAAGTCGAGGGATGACACAAGATACCACAGTATTCTCTAAGTGTTTGTGTCCATGTGCATCTGTGAGGGCCTGTCAGTCCATGCCTGTGACTGAAGGTTTGTGCATGGGGTCTCTGTTGAAGGGGACTGCTTTCTGCAGATCCTGACAACTCCCAGAGACAGCCAGGGTCTGAGCCTGAGAAGACATTTAAGCCTGGTGAGGTGGAATGTGGTTCGACCACTGCTGCCTTGCAGATCTAGAATGAGCTTCTCATAGCAGCTGTGAGTCTGGGGACTGACTTGGGAACCGGCAGCCCCAGGCTGATTCGCCCAGGACCCCGCCCTTCGCTGCAGCATCCGAAGCAAGCCTCATTCTGGAGTCTGCTGGACTGGAAAGGGAGAGGAGATGATTAATAAAAGGAGCCCCTCTTTCTACCCCAAGAGCTCTGCGGCTGCCCTACCCCCAGCCGACAGCAGAGGGGGCCCTCTGCCTTGGGATGGAGGTCGGGGCTGGCCGGACCGAAGGATGCTGAGCTGGGGGCGGGTGAAAGAAAGTGGGAGGGGTTGGAAGCGGGGGTGGTGGGCGAGGGTGGGTTGTAAGTGAGAGCAGGGAGAAGGTTCTGGACAGGTGAACCAGGGAAAGGAACAGGGCTCTTGAGGGAAGTCCTCTGGCTCAGAGGGCATGGGAATGCCGCAGCCTCCGCGCTAAATGCAAATTTTGTGAATTACTATGCAAACCTGCAGCTCCTCTTGGAGCCTGCAACTTGGGTGGCTTTCCTAACGTAGCGGGGTTGGGGACACCGCGGCGCACGCCTCCCCCTGGCCAGCCGCAGCTTTCTCCTGGGGAGACAGGAGAGGCATCGGGGAAGAGCTAGCTTCTGCCCTCCGCCGGGGCCTGCCTTTAGAGCTTCAGTTTGCTCTTCCCTAGGTGGGGGTGCAAACGCGGCCTTCTGACAACTCTCCCCAGGAAGCGGGATATATATATCCCCCGAAATCCTGTATACTGCCTCGGGCTGGGGGCTGGGCACATGACCCCTCGCAACCTTCTGTTCCTAGTTCACAAGACCTTTGCTTATCTCTTGATAGGGACCAGGAACGCAGCTTGGCATGACGTTGCTAGGGGGTGTGATCGGCGGTTGCTAGGTTCTAGGAATGTTGCTATGCAACGCCGGGCGGGGCCCTGGTTGCTAGGCCGAGGAGGAGTCGCCCGCTGCCCAAAGGGTTTTAGCGGACGCCTCCCGCCCCCAACCAGGACCGGCGTCGGCACCCCCAGGCTGGGCGCAGTCTCCGGGGTTCCTTCCGGTTCACACCCTCTGTTACTCCGTGATCCTCTGGGCTCCAGAGCGAGGAACCCTGGGTCTTTGTACACGTGTCTGTGCGCCTGCTGATGCGGGGGGTGGGGGGGAGAATGTCTCTTTTGAATTTCCATAGCAACTGCTCCCGTGTCACCCTATTGCTCCCAAAGGTTTAAGCAGTTGCGTGTGCAAATTTACATATATCTGCATGTCATTAACATAGAGGCGGAGCCGGAACTTGTTTGGGCAACTATCCCTGGACAGTTCCCCTCGCTTTGCTTTCATCCCGTCCGATGGCCACCTGGACTGCGCATGCGTGAGTGTTTTGCGTCTCCGTGTTCTCGGATTTGAGGTGGGTGGGAGACCTCTGACAGTGACTATCCGTTCTGGTCCACTCATGCCCTTACAGAAACATCCCAACCGAAGGCTCAGTTCCCTAAGCAACACTGAGACTTGTTGGACCCCAGTCCTGCCTTTCCTGGCTGTGTCATCTTAGGTTGGTGCCCTTTTCTGTGACTCAGTTTCCGTCTCTGTAAATAGGCATACTAATCTCTAACTCACTAGGTTATGTGCGGGTTGGTGGGATGCCACTTCGGCACATGGTCGTTGATGTTCTGGTGGACGGTAGGCAGTGTATGGTTGTTCCTTGACTCCCTCCTTAGAGCCCATTTCCATCCACTCAGAACCCAGCTAAAGCAAATGAACTTCCTTTGCGGCTCCAGATATGACAGGAAGAACTTCCATATGTCAGGGCAGGCTGGATTCCAGGCATGGGATGAGAAATATTGGCCAAGCCAGGTTGGTGTACCAAGGAGCCTGCCCTCCCGCTCCACCGTTGCTCTCAAGGAGTTCACTAGGTCAGGAACCCTTGTATTCCTATCCAGGCACTGGACCTTAAGGTGGCTGCTGGACAGCAGCTGACTGGGAGGCTGGACTAAGGTGCCTGTGATGGTGTAGGAAAGGAGAGCAGGAACTTTGCTCAGAGAGTTGCCTGTCTGAGCTTTCACCAGGGAGGATCAAAGAACTCTGGGGCAACTACCTTGTCCTTCTTGGACCTCAGTTTCCCTACTGAGGACACTTGAGAGTCTCATGGGGCGTGGCGGGGGGGGGGGCCCGGGAAAATGGGGGAGAATAAAAAGCCATCCCCCCCCCCGCAGCAACAGTACAGGGAGTGAGTTCCCCATTCTTGGGACTATGCAAGCAGAAGTGTGGTTGGAATGGAACAGAACTTCCTGGAAGCTGCCTTCTTGAAAGGTGGGGAGTCCTTCCTGGGTCTGACTTCTACCCTAGAGGCTCTTTCTTGCCTTTCTTTCTCCCAATGTCCTCCTAACCTTAACCAGCCTTGACTGCTGGAGCCACAAGGAGGCAGAAGAGGCATTAAAGGGTAAACCCAGTTCCGTTCTGTGCTGGGGATAGCTCTCATTAGGCTTAATTAACATAAATGGGATTGCTTCCTGTCTTGGGTAGAATATGGTTGTTGGTGATGAAGAAAGGCATAGGAGCTTGGCTCTGATTGGTCAGTTGGCTTCTGGGAGGAGGCAGGACTATATGGGGACTTTGTAGTTGTCCGTTCCGACTGCTGTATACCAGACTACTCTTGGCTGCCAGTAGGCCAGCCCTTTCCCAGTAGCCACCTGTGTTCCACAGGTGAGAGTTCCAGGGACAGGCTGAGAGCCTGGCAGTGCCCGGCTGGCCCGCCTGTGTCCCACTCCAGGGGCCAATTAAGTCTCTATCCCTAGCCGCGCCGATTAACAGTTAATAAGGCAGCAAACACCTGCAGCTATGGAGGCGAATTAAGAGCAACAGTCGGCATAATACACAACCCGATAAGTGAGCAATTAACAACCGGAGAAAGATTAATAGAAGCAATTATGTCCTACTCGGAGCTCTGTAAATACGACTGTCAACCGCTGGGGAATTCAGTCCAGTCTCACCTGGCTCCACCCTGGCCATAGCCTCTGCTGGCAGTGGAGACACTTGAGCTAGCCTATAGAGTCTGGACCACAGAGCCGTTGACACACGGGGCATGCCCAGATGTGTACACATGGGCATATACGTCCAGGCACACAGAGGGATGGTCCATAGGACATAGTTACACAGACACGCCCCAATCATAAAGCTCACATTCACACAGATGGATAGACACAACACAAAGAAGTCCTTCCAGAAATAAACACAGACATGCCGGAAAATACGCAGTGTCACCGAGACACTCACATGTCATACAGAGCTAGAATTACCCAGATGATGGAATATATAA